AATTTTTTATATAATATAGTTTTAAATAATATAGTTTTAGTTCGTAAAGCGTTTTCTTTTTTTTATCGTATAACGAAACATTGCGTAAATCGAAAAAGTATAAAATAATTAAGAAAGGCCGTTACGGGGAAATGGCGTGTAAAGAGCGGCCGTATAGCCTTTTTATCCTTGACCATCGCTTCCTTTTATCGGCGATAAGCGAGTTCGTCTAAACCTCGGTTCGGAATTTTAATTTCGTGACTGATCGAGTTTCGAGCGGATATCTTATAACTTGCAACGTGAAAGGTTCGACGGTGAAAATTTACGACGTTGGTTGGTTTACGACACGGTTTGGGGCTACGAGATAGAGGCAGGAAGGAAGGTGGAGGTTGGTGTCGGGGCTATCGATGTCGAAGGATCGAGGCACGGTGTTATTATCTAAATTGGCAAAATGGGTATTTTGCGCGGCTGATTTACGCCGAGTTGATTCTTGAGTCACGAAGTGGATTGATAAATCGACTCGTCAGTTTTTCTTTTCTTTCCTTTTTTTTTTTTTTTTTCCTTTGGAAGATCGATTATTACGAAAAGTGTCCAATTAACTGGTTAAGGGATTCGAGTAATATTATATCGAGAAGACGATGATCGGGAAGGCGTCTCGCCTTCCCAGTTAATCGCCAAATTTCTAGGTAGATCGAGGCTTAGCCAGGTAATAAGCAATAAGTAAGTTACCCTTCGTCATCTTTCCGCCCCTCGATAATTCTTTCGAAAGGAAAATAAGATTTTCTTTTTTTTTTTTTCAATTCTCTGGACAACCGCGATGATAATCATCGTCCCCCCTCGGCGTGCAACCTCCCCTCGTTGTTTCTTCGAGATTTGAGCCCCGTTTGTGATTAAAACTTGCTCTTGTTACGCGGGCAAGAAATTACATTTTAATTATACATGGTTAATCAGCGAGCTGCTGTTTCACGCTCCGAAACACGGCCCGCTGTTTACCGTTTAACGGCGTGTGATCTATGCCCGAACACGCCGAATTTTCTTCGTTCCTCCACACCTATTGTTAACACTTCTTTGCACTTCCTTTTTTTTTTTTTTTATCTAGCAGCAACTTGTGAATCGTGTAAAATGGAGAAATATAACGAATTCAGCGTTTACTTACGAAGCATTCGAAAGAAAATTTTTAAATTATTTTAAAAATTACAAAGTCGAGTCTGGTCGAATCCTAAGGGTTAAAAAAAGGCTCGAGCGTATATATTTCACGTATTATCGAACGATTCTAAAAAAAAAGAAGGAAGATATAAAAAATGGCGAAATATAACTAATTCAGCGTTTACTTCATTCGAAAGAAAAGAGATTATTATTTAAGCATTTTAAAAATTACAACGTCCAATCGAATTTTAAGGATTATTTTTCATGTATCGTCGAACGATTCTAAGAGAAAAAAAAAAAGGAAGATATAAAAAATGGCGAAATATAACGAATTCAGCGTTTACTTACGAAGCATTCGAAAGAAAAGAGATTATTATTCAAGCATTTTAAAAATTACAACGTCCAGTCGAATTCTAAAAAGCACTCTCGAATGCATATGTTTTTCACGTATCGTCACGTTCACGATTGTAAAAAGATGTCGAAAATGTTACGTTACACAAAATTGTATAAACGTGGAATATTGATGGGGGAGACACGTCTCTGTTATATTTACATTCCCCTCCCCACCCTCCGTTCTTGTTCTTCGTCTCGCGTCGCGGCGGATTCGCGCATTCAACCCCGGTTGACAGGTTTGTCCGTGGATGATGGATCGAACGAAATGGATTCGTGACGCGTTCTTCACGCATTACTCGATCCGCCAATCCGCGTTTCCCCTCCTCCCCCTCCACGAATCATCATCTTCGCTTCACGAATCATCGTAGTCGCCGTCCCCGTCACGAGTTAGGGTGGGCAGCTCGCGGTGATAAAAGCGTCACGACGACGTAATCGACGATCGCCGGCGAAATTGAATATCGATCGAGTTAGCCGTGCGGGATCACGAGCGGTGTACACCCCTTCCCCCCCTCTTGGCGCACTGTGCAAACATTATACGTTACGTCGCTTTGATAACACGATTTACGATAAGCCAGCCCACCGTGCACCGCTTTTCCTATCTGTCGTCTAATCTCCGCCCGACTAATCTCCTCGGTTATTGACTTCCATTATGCCTGGCCGGAAGTAGCAGCAGCAGGAGGAGGTGGAAGAGGAGATCCTCCACAGAAATTTTGGGCCACCTCGGATTAACTTCGAACCGAAATCCGTTCCCTCCGCGGAGGAGCGAGACGAAAATCCAAAATCGGGAAAACAAATCGTGGTTCACGAGTTGCAGAAAGGGGAGGGTGGTGTGGAAAATTGAACGATTTTTGCGAAAAACTCGAGAAGGAAGGAGAGATAGTAGTAATAATAATAATAATAATAATAATTCTGTTGCAAAATTCCTTCTTCTCATCTTCTCACAATTTCTATCTTTCGGGAAGAGAAGTCTCTCGAGGGAAGAATTGTATGTGGCACACGTGTGAGCTGGGATTAATACGTGAGCGAAATAAAAAATTTTTGGATTTAAAATGCACGCTTCCTGGCCGTGAAGCGTTTACTAACGAACCGAGCCACGGTTTCCGCCCAAACTTACGATATTTTCCGTTTAACAAGCCCCGCGAAAACTATGATGATTCAGGATGATCTAAGATCTCGGTTCCCCAGGTGGATGGGTGAACAAGAAACGCGTTTCCCTTCCCTGGGAAATATCGACGTGCGTAATGAATTTTCAAGAAATTTTTTTTCTGGCAAGAAAGAAAGTGGAAGATCGATCGATTCAAATTTGTTTATCGTTAAAATTTTAAAAGGGAAGTTTCTTCACGTTGCACTTTTTTTAAGGACAGGATATACGGTTGTTCCGGAAGGGGCTAAGATTTATCGTAGGAGAAAACGTAGGGGAAAAACGCTGCCGGAAGTGGTTAAGGAACATTTAAGCCAGACAAATGGTTCGAATTCCTTCAACCGGCGACGGACTACTTTTTTTTTTTTTTTAAGAGGTAAGTGGCGACGATAATACGTGGGGGTAAAGATATCGCATCTTATTTTTTCTCCAAACGATCCGTTTGTTTTTAAAGTACGCATTGGATGGAAGCAACGATTAGTCGTCTAACGTGCCACGATCGAGTCGAGCCCCGTCTGTCGATTTTTCTTAACATTCAATTTATTTTATTTTTAGAAATTTTCCTCCCCAAAAAGTATCTTTCTTCTCTCTATCTTTCAACCCTTTTGCCACTACGAACGATTATAATATCGCTCTGCGTACAAGATGATCGTACGATACGACGAGCGATCGATGTTTCTTATCGTCAATTTTTTTTCTTTTTTTTTTTTCAATAAACACCATCGAAGCGATTCGAATCGTAAACACGGCTGCTGATCACGTTTCTCGACCACAGTGCACATTTTTGGTGGCGAGAGAAATAGCGAAAAAGAAAGGGATATAACAGATGTAATAATCGCGTTATGAAGTTTACTTATTTGCAGTCATCATGGAATCATTATTATTACGACTACGTTGCTCTTTTCTTTCTTCCTTTTAGATATTTCTTCCATTTACGAAGACGCTTAAGTGAAAAATTCGTACACACTCTCTCCCCCCTCCTGGTAGAAAATATTCCACTCGTCGCAATGCTCGACCGGGTAGATTTATGAACCTGACGGCTCCAAAGTAGCACGAGTTTTACCACGAGTTCCACGATCTTGTTTCCCTCTTTCCTGCGACGCGCTGCTTGTTACGCGTTCAAAAAAAAAAAAAACACGAATCCCCTCGCGTGCACAATTAGGCAAAAATATAAATACAAATTCTCTCTCCCCCCCTTCCTCTCTCTGCGAATACAAGAAAATACGAAAAGATTTCGCATTTGGTTTGTTATTCTATCGTTGAGTTATCTGCAAATCGTTTAACAAACGATTTAACAAAATTGTTAATCCGTCACGCGGTTGAAACAGAGGTTGAATTTTTTCCTCCGCGTAATCATCGAATTTGTGGGAACGGAAAAGCGCACAATCGAGAGATTGGTCTCATTTTCAAATGGACACGAATTCATCGGTTCTTGTTGAGGATGGTGGTGGTAGTAAAACTCGAAAGAGTTTCGCAAAAGAAAACTTGAAGCAATTTCTCGATCGAGCGTGCCGAGGATGGAATTTCCCTCTTTTAAGTGAATTAATCAGATCTTTCTAAGAAGCTGTCAATCGACTCCTTCCTTACCTCTTGGACTACTTTATTCGCAAGCATCGTCGTGTCTCACGGATCGATGGATATACCAGGTGACAGCTTCTTATAATTGATGTCAATCGACTTCAATCGTTCTTTATATCTTTCGGATGCTTTATCAATCGACTCCTTGCCTCTTGGATACATCTGTTCGTTTCACAAGCATCGTCACACACATGTATAATTTGATTTGAATTAGCTTTTTATATAAAATAAGATAAATCTGCGTAACAAAGCAGGCTGATAAAGATGCATTTTTTAAGAAGCTATCGATCTATGGACTACTTTATTCGTTTCATAATGGATGACAGCTCGATGCATATTCGATTGAGTGCATCATGTATACACGTATTTGAATTAGTTTTTTTTTATAATTGAACTCTATTCGTTTCACAAGCATCGTCGTATCTCAATGGATGCCATGACAGCTTCGATCAAAACTGTTTGTATATATGGATATATTGACTCGAATTAGCAAAGATCCGTGTAGGAAAGAAGCTGTCAATCGACTCGTTCCTTGGACGCTTTACTCGTTTCGCAAGCATCATCTGATGCCGTGACAGCTTCGATCGATGCATATTCGATTAAAACTGTTTTTATATATACATCGATTTGAATTATAAAAAGGCTGGGGACGATAAAGCACGCGAGTGACTCTTCTCGTTTCGATCATCCCTCCCGTTTCCCACATCTTGGAATACAACAACAATTTGGAAATTTGCCACTCTCGCTCCGTGATGAAACTTACGCCTGTCGATGAAGTGGAAATTTCCAAAAAAGCCGGTCGCATTAGCGGACGAGGATTCCTGCGTGTGAAACTCCAAGATAAGCGTGGACCTCGAGCTGTAGAGGACCTGGGGGATGTCGCGTAGATCCCCGCAAAGCACACCTGACCACGGGGTGTACTCGGAAACGCCGCTCGCCTCCAGATGTAGAAACACTTTTAAAAAGTCGCCACCCACGCAGCTGAAACACAAATCAATCGAGGGCCAAGTTAGCACAGCTTCCTCCCAGGAGAAACCGCGTGTCGAGGATGTTAGGGGAGGGGGATGATAACCGATTGGCTAAGAATTGATCCAAGAACAGTTTCTAATGGGAAAAAAAAAAGAAAAAACTAGGTTTATCGTTCGTTTTAATGATTAAATATCATTTAATTGGGTGTTGTTTGAGGAATAAAATTCATTGGAAGTAATTTATTAATTTACTACATTTGATTTAAAAGATCGACTCTTAAACTTCGGACATCTAATGAATTTTAAAAAATAATTTTAAAAACAAAAGATTAACTTCAGTTTGACAAACTAATGTTATTTAATTTTTCTTAATTTATTTTATCAATTCAATTAAGAATGTATTTAAATGATTCAATTATAATAGGTATAAATCTATGATTTATTCCACAAATTTCTGAACACCGACCGAAAAACATTCCAAATAGAACGTTTCTAATTTTATTGATTAATTCGACTGCTTTTAACTCGACGATTAGCTGAAACTCGTTTAAAAATCGTGTAACAGAAAAAGACGCCGATAATAATAAAATAAATTATATTTACTTATTCATCGCGTTTCCCTCCGGCCAGGTATTCGATCGAATCGAGAATCTCGATAACAGCGTTATAAGGTTTGGGTTACTCGGTGGAATGGCTAATTGACTAATTAGTCTCGGCAGTGAAACGGAACAGGTGTTCCCGAGTCTGACTGTACACAGATTACCGGAGTTCACGTGGAGTGTTTCCGATCCGAGGTGACTTAAAGCGAATACAATGCCGAAATTAGCACGGATTATAATAGAGCCGAGCAGCTTACACAGAGAGAGAGAGAGAGAGAGAGAGATATTCGCAAAAACAATTTGCCGGCTCGTTAGCGGTTGCTAACACGCGAATCCTGTATCACCGTCCATTAGCCACCGATAACGGGGACGAACTTAAATCCCTCTTAAACTTGGCTCGACGCGACAAAAAAGAGAGTATATTATAATTTGGGATCGTCATACTTGAGAGGGAGTGTAGAATTTACCTTCGATAATGAGCATTCGAACGATTTTTAATTAATTACGGGCAGGCTCGTGATGATGATATTTGCCGCAAACGTATTCTGATGTCTCTTTCATTGGGGATAAGAAAGAGACGAATTGATGTATATATGGCATGGTAAGTATCGATCGATGGTAAGGAAGGATATTTGAACGATTATTATTCGTAGCGTTCGAAAAGCTAAGACAAATCTTCTTCTCGATAGTGAATTATTCGTGGTGTTAATAACGAATGATTTATTAGCAACGACAATTTACAACGCGAACAAACAATCAAAGTAAAAAATTTAGCAGCCCGCGTATCGAGCTTTCACGCTTTCCACGTGTCCCATCGTACATATTAAAACGCTCTTTAATTTTATTTCAGCCGTGGTATAATAAACTGCTGTTACATGTAATTCATATCGCGTGAGAAATAACATATGCAATTCATGGAGGGATGCGTTCCGTTTCGCAAAATATTTATGTAAATTAATACGTGGCAAGTATGCTTTATCATTCTTTTTTGTATAACCTCGTATATAAAGCTTTATAATACGTGTATGCGCGTGACGTTCAGTACCGAAAGTTCGGCTACAGGTGTCAGAAAATTTAAAGGGTGATTCTTCAACCTCGAATGAAACGAAAATTAGGAATCGAAAAAAAAAAAAAAAAATTCGAAAAAAATGCGCATTTATTATCCTTCGTGCTATGCAAAAATATACGAAAATTAAATTTAACTCTCGATATACTTTGCATCGTGACAATCGAATCGATTGCAATAAAGTCACGAACGAATAAATTTCAACTTCCCGTAATAAAGATCGAAACCTATTCGAAAGTTGGTGAAAATCGTACGATTGAAGTCTCGATTCGATATCTCGAACTATCGCTGAAATACAATGATTCAAAGTTTCCATACCGCTTAATAACGCGATGCGGAAATTATGAATGGACCCAATTGACCCACATTTTTCCCCGCGTGCGTACGTTTCTCTAGGAATTTCGTCTCGAGTTTGTAATGAGTCAGTGAGACGAGGGTCCGAGCGAGCCCGGATAAAAGCGAAAAATTACGCTTCTCTTTACACGACGATATCTCGGAAACCGGAAGTCGTATCGAAACGATTCAAAGAAAGGTTTAAAGGGGAAGATTTTGCGCTTCCAATGATCGTTCATTCGTCGATCAAAAGTCGCTCGTTTCGAAGTTATAGCGGTTTAAAGTTTTTTCTCATTTTAATAGCGTTTAATCGATCGTTTTCATCATACGTGGCTCGAGGAATCGGTTGTTAAATTTTCGAACAGTCATATATGCCGAATATATTCCGCATATTCTGTAGATACGTAAAATACGTATGGCATGAACCGATTAGGTCAATTCCACAGAGAATCGCGTCATGTGCAATTAGAAGATATTTCATTATGCAACAGGCTATCGATCATTTATCGTAATAAATGTCCGTCTCCTGCTTGACAATTTGTTTTTTGCAGTTCGAAGCAATTGTGATCGAGAAACGAAGAAACGATTGAAGTATTGAAAATGGCATTTTTTTTTTTTTTTTTTTTTAAGAAACTTTAAAAAGGATTATCACTTATTATTATAATCGAAACGTATAGAATTTATTAAAAGATTATCAAGTCGAGTATTTCATCGATAAATTGCGGTTGAAATTTATGGATTACGATTTAAATAACACGATTTTACGAAATCTGACAACTATACGAGTATTAACTTTCGCATTAAAATGTTATTTGAACGTTATGCAAGTGCATTATTTGTGTGCATAATTTAATCATGCAACGTTTTCAATCATGAAACGTGCGTGATATTATACCGTATTACAAACAAATGAGTTGTTCCAACTTACTTGTTTACCCATATAATTCCACTCTGCTTCCGGAAATAATATTCGATAAACAAGAATTCACGACATTATTACAACATTTAAATTTTCCTACTTTATCCTATGTAATAATAATAAGCGATACGCCTTGATTTATATTAAATCGTAATTAATATTGCAACCAATTTTCAATACACACACGTGTATATAATATAAATTAGAAATGAATAGAAAGGAAGACGAAAAAAAAAAAAAAAAAAAAAAAAAAAACGATAACAAAATCGTTGAAAAGAATTCGTCATATAGAAATATCCGCCCCCCCCCTCCCCAGTTCGAGAATTAAATTCTCGAAGAAAACACATTCACAGTGCGCGGGGTGGGTGACGTTGTCAAAAGAACGTCCGTGGAAAAGGCAAAGAGCCGTCGGTCCCCGATTGTCAAGCGTTACATCCACTCGGCTGAATTTACACACAAAGCGATTTCCCAGTCAAAAGATGAAACCCTCCCCCCTCTTCACTAGCCACAATCCGAACCGCGACACGTCGCTTTTGTTGTAACGTTAACACGCGTCACCTCCGCTCTCACTTTCTCGCGGGGAGAAAGAGAAGAGTTATAATTTATTACACCCGAAAGGAATTTGTCACCTCCCGTGTCATCCTGCCTCCCGTTTCCACATAAATTCCCGATCCACCGGCGAAAACAAAAAGGCTCGAAAATTCGTCTCGAGCCTGCCCTCAACGCGGCCAGCGTGATTCAGTTTTTCACAAATGTTACTCGTCAAAAAGTAATGAAATTTAGCTGGTGTCTTCTGGTGTCTCCACTCGTCCGTTTCAATCGTTCAAAGACTTTCCAAATATCGATCTTAAATATTGCGAATGTAAGTCTCTGATCGACTCTCGGTCCAACTCTGCATTATCGGTGGAAATTCGATCGTAACGACAGGCTGCTATGTTATCGTACAATTTTAAGGTTTAATTTTAGATTTAAAATCGTGTCAAGATGTAAAAACATGGTTCGCTAATATTGTCCGTTTCTATTCTTCTTAAATTTCAAATTCTGTGAATCGAATGTATATTTTATATTTCGGTGCTTATTCCATTAAATTTCTCTCGTACGTCGCCGTATAGTCCTATGTAAATATACGTATAATATAATTTTATTTGATCGGCAACCTTCTTAAATACAAATACGAGCGCAAAGGTTTTTGGTTGAAATCCAAATATGGGCGACGAACGTGTTAAGGGAGAGGGGGAAAAAAGTATCACAAAGTAGAAGAATTTCAAAGATGATCTCTCCATCACCTTTCTCAAATTTCACGATAGAAAGGATGGTTACGACGTATTAAATTAAATATCCCATGGATCCAGATAAGTTCGTGCAGTCGATTTGTTTATCGTGTTTGTGAACACCATCCGCTTTGTCCGGCAAACAAGATTCGTTTCGGCTGGATCCGATACGAGAGAAAAATTCGAGGCAATCGGCGACAATCCCTGTGTATACAAACTCGTCGTGGAGAGTGTGAAAAATATCAGAGGACGGAACTGGATGAAAGAGGTGGATGGAAAACTTTCTTCTCAGATCGCTTCCAGAAAAGTTCGGTCGAATTTTTGAAATCCGATAGAAGAATCGTTTCGTCGTGTCGTTCGAGAAGAAACAACGTTCGTTCCCGCGTGTCATGTTTCTAATCGCTTCTCTCCTCTCCCCTCCCCAACCGTTGGCGTCGATTCGCTCCCGCCGCTCAATGCGAATCGTCGAGATCGAGAATGTTCCACTGGCGAGAAAAGAAAGGGGGGAAGGGAGAGAGAGAGAGAGGCGAGAGATAAAATGTGGCACATCGCAGTGCGCAGGAACTGATTAGCGTGGCACAATTCGAAAAAGTTGCTGCTAAGGGGGCAGGTGGGATCGTTGGTTGGCACGAGAGGAATCGTAGGCATGGTAAAACTTCCCGGAAGAATTCTATTCCGATTGGACCCGTGCCAGGATTACATACATCCCTCGAGGATCGTGAAAAAAGATTTTTTAGATATGATAAAGATTTTATATATAGCGCGTACCTCGTTAGTTTCGCTTGGTGAATGGAAAATTCAACGTTCGACAGCATAGAATAGATC